AAAAGAGATAAAGGAGAAAAAAAGAGAGAGAATAACGAGTGTCTATGACACAAGAGTAACAAATACTTACAGAACATAGTTGATATAAATCCAGTTACCTGTAAAAATCTTGGGTTTAACCACTGTGATATGTACTCAGTCCATACATAAAAATAAACCTTGATCTACATCTTACTATTTTCTTCCTTAATGCATTGATATATAAATTATGGGAAATAGAACCACATTCCCTTTGGGCATAGTAGGGTACTTATTGGCCTCTGGAAAGTGGGATGCTCCATCAGCTATTGTGAGGCAGTATTTAGGAATCAACTGATTTTTAAAAAAATTTATATTATTTTAGTTGTAGGTGGACACAATACCTTTATTTTATTTATTTATGTGGTGCTGAGGATCAAACCCAGTGCTTCACACGTGCTAGGCAAGTGCTTTATCACTGAGCCCCAGCCCCAGCCCTCAAAGTTGTATTTTGAAAAGAACTTATCTCCAGGTGATTGACTTTCACAACATATGTAAGAAGCTTAATACTTACCATTTCACTTTTTTTTTACTCATCATTTTTCTTTTGTGGAAAATCAAGTTCTGGACTTCCCTTGATTGGGACCAAGAGTTTTCCATTATCTCTTTCTCTGCACACAAGACCCTATTACTAAGGGGAGCTCCCCAGAAATTCTGCTGGGACCAGTTTCCAGCAAGAATAAGAGCATGCATGTCCACGGCAAAGCCATCTCCCATGTACCAGTCTCCACTTGCCACTCCAAGTGCCTCCATCCACACAACTGCCACAATCTAGAATCCATCAAATATGTGCTCACATGGAAAACTTATCAGGAGGTTCAGACATGTCTGTGTTTCCACATTTCTGGGAAATATACTATATTTGGTTGATGCAGGAGTAGTGCAAAAATCACTAGAGTCAGCACCTTTAAACCAACTGAATGAGTAACCTCTTTCAAGATATCACACAAGAAAAGCCCATCTAGCCACTAAAGACTTGACCCTACAGAAAAGCACCAAAGACCCAAACCCACCAACAACATCATGCAATTTTCTATAGCTCTGATTTTTCTTATCTGGTATCGAGTTTCTCACGACTAAACACTCAGGGTCACTCCAGGTGAACTGAGCTTCACGAAATAATCACACAAGAGACAGAGATACCTTTTTCTTTGGGTCCTGTGACAGCTCCTCCGACCTTAAGGGTCCACAGAAAGCAAGCATGTGCTGAATACTTTTATTGAGAAGAAGCCATTCAAATGAGGCAAGGGGTCAGGTTTCAGGAGGTTGAGTCTAGCTTCCTGATATCTGCTGTCAGCAGGTTGACTGACATCTAGGAAGGCCACACCCAAAGGCAGAGCAAGAGAAGGGGACACACACAGGGCGTTTCCATGGAACATTCTATCCCAAACAGGAGAGAGAGGGAGGATTATGAAAGAAAAGGTGAGTGTAGCTCAACCCCATGGGTGACACACCTACACCTGAAGACACTCCTACTCATTCCCGGACAGAGACAACGCCCAAGTCACCAGGAAATGAAGTGATTGGTCAGAGCCTCTTGCTTCAGGACTGGAAGGTGTGGCTCCCCACAATCTGGAAAATTATTATACAAATGACTTACTTCTTAAGAATATACCTGTTGGTCTGGGGTTGTGGCTCAGTGGAAGAGCGCTTGCCTCCCATGTGTGGGGCACTGAGTTCAACCCTCAGCACCACATAGATAAATAAAAGAAAGGTACTGTGTCCATCAAAAACTAAAAAAAATTTAAAAAGAGAATACAACTGTTAGCAACTAAAAAGCAACTTATAAGCAAAGTACAATTATACATCAATAAAGTGGGAAAAGGGACAACTATAAAGTTTAAAAGCCATCTTATAAGGAATGACTGGTTAGCTGTACTTTTTCTGAGTTAACTCAGCACCTCTTATTTTTGTGTGGCAGCAAAACATACCTACCTTTTTTCTTGGCATTTTTCTTAGATCACTGACAACAGGAATGAGATTACTTCATGAAAGAGAAAGATATTTTCCACTCCATCTCCTGCAATCTTGGGTCCTCACAGGCCCCTGACGCCACTTGCCTGATGGGCCACTGTGCCTACACCACACCTGGGAGGAGGAATAACTAAACAGAACTCAGGGAAGTAGAGTTACCTTTGTCGCTGAGTTCTCTTCTGTGATTTTTTTTTTTTTTTGTATTTTAGGATCATTTTGGCCACTGTTTTTCCACTGATGCTTGAAACCTATTTGGTTTCCACAAATTAAGACTGCTGAGCTCTTTTTGAATTTACTAATTGAAATGTTTAACATAAAATTTTTGTGGTTGTTATTATAGTTTGAATCTAGAGTGTCCCCAGGTTCCTGTGTTGAAGACTTGATCCTCAATACAGCAATGTCCAGAGGGGAGGCTTTTTGGGAGCAGTTGGACGGTGAAAACTGCAATCTCATCAGTGGGCTAATCCATGGATGGATTCATAATCTGATGGCATTGTTTAGAGGTGATAGAAACTGAAGGAGGTGTGTCCTTAGAGAGAGGGGGAACTTGGGGGCATGCCCTTGGGTACTGTGTCCCCTCCCTGGCTCCTTTCTGTGTTCTAGGTGTTGTGGGGTGAACAGCTTTCCTTTGCCGTGCCCTCTGCATGATGTTATGTTTCCCCTTTGAAACCGTGAGCAGAAATAAACCTTGCCTCTTCTGTTTTTCTCAGGTACTTAGGCACAGTGATGAAAAGCTGACTAATACTGTTGTCCACAAAGGGAGGTGTGCAAGCTCTAAGCACACCACACGCTGATCCACTCCCCTGGCCCTGGGGAAGAAGCCAGCTCTGCAGACAAGGGCTGTGCCTACTTCCCCCCACTGGAGCCAACTGGCTCTGACAAAAGGACTGCCTACGATTTAATCAGCTCTCCCCTTTTATCTCATTATAATTTTTTTGAAATTTGCAAACTCAAGTGTTGTTTGCCTGTGGACAAATTGCTTATGCTAATTATTTCAGAATATTAATACCTGTAAACACATGCATGTTTTAGTTTTAGTTTCTAGAAGTAACGTTGGTGAATGAGGTATATCAGGAGAAAATGTGGCTGTCAGGCAACCATTTTTGCAGGTAGAGTTGCCGCTCAGTATCTGTAGGGGATTCATTCCAGGATTCCCTGTGGCTACTAAAATCCATGAATTCTCAGGTCCCTTATATAAAATGGCACAGTATGTGCCAAGAGCAGTGGTGCACACTTGTAATCCCAGTAGCTCAGGAGGCTGAGGCAGGAGGATCACGAGTTCAAAGCCAGCCTCAGCAATTTAGCAAAACCCTAAGCAACTCAGTGAGAGTCTGTCTCTAAATAAAATACAAAAAAAGGGCGGGGGGAGCTGGGGATGTGGCTTAGTGGTTAAGTGCCTCTGAGTTCAATCCCTGTTTAAAAAAAAAAAATTGGCACAGTATGTGTATATAATCTACAATATACTCCATATACTTTAAATCTCTTTAGATTACTTACAATTCCTAATAAAATGTAAATGCTATGTACTTATTGTCATTATATTGTTTAGGGAATAATAACAAGAAAAAAAATCTGTACCTATTTAGCACAGACACAATCATCATAGGCTTAACTGCATTTTTGATCCACAAGGACACATCTCCTTCAGTTTCGATCACCTCTAAACAATGCCATCAGATTATGAATCCATCCTTGGATTAGCCACCCACCCTTAAGAGTTACACAAGGCTGTTGACAGTGGCCTACCTTATAAAGGCTGTGTGCAGACTGATGTCTCTTTCAGTACTGGGGTGGCTGTGCTGGTGGGAGGGGCCCTCTGTGAAGGGAGGTCGTCATCTCCAGGACTGACAGGAGTCCCACTCATCAACTCTCCCAGGGCCTGCAGCAGGAAGACCACTCTGGCAGTTGGAGTTGACTTTTTGCCCAATGATCAAGTATCTCAATCCAGAAGCAATTCAAACTTCCCAACTCCTTCTAGATTAAAAATAGGCCCAAGGAATACCCAGACAGGCTAATTGCCCCTTCTTCTCTCACAAAGCTACCAAGGGATGTGTATGTCATTTTACAAATTAGTTTGTGAATCTTATTTCTGCTATCCCTATTCCTGTAATTTTCCTGGTATGTAGCATGGAATGAAACTCATCACTTGTATTTTTCTTCTTGTATTCAGATATTTGATGATAACCTAACTGTTTTGAGAGAAAAAAAAAATCAAACAAATGTTCTGGTTTTGCCATCCTCAAATCCTCAAAACTGTTCCATTTATATTGTCAGGACACTGTCTCAGTACGTGCATGTATACTGATCCCTCTTACTCTGAGCTTTACCTGCTGACTACTCCATTAGCCTGCAAATTTGCCAGCACAGAGCAGATTCTCTCATTGCTTCCTAAACACCGTTCTTATTCTCCCACCTGTATCTACATTTGCCTTTCTCTAATGTGCCCCTTCCTGCGCCCCCTGCATCTCTACTCTTTCATCGCAATCTCTCTTCCCCTTGGTGCTTTACTGATAGCCCTGCAACTTCCTTTGACACACAGGCCACACTATACTTTTGACACTGACTACAAGGAACTGGGATTATTCTTCTCACACGTGGAGTTGAAACACAAGTAATGGACACAATGAAATGATACTTTTTCACCTACAAAGACAGCAATTCCAATTACTTTAATCTATTACCTGTATCTTCCTTTTTGATTGTTTGTTTGTGTGGTGCTGGGTGGAGATTGAACCCAGGGCCTCATACGTGCTAGGCAAGCGCTTTACCACACTTTCTGACACTCCCAGACCCTCTTTGCATCTTCTTACAAATTCTCCTTACATTTGACAGTCCCTTACACTGCGTAAGTGTTTTCTACTAAAAAGAGAAAGACTTTGGCTATTCTTAAGTAAGCAAACTAGTAAATCAGCTTCCGGTATGGCTATTGGCATTGATTTATAAACACTCTGATGTTTTAGTAGACTATATTTCAAAAAGACCATCCACAGAATTTTCATCAGTAAATTCTATATTCAACAGAATATATTTCATATTTATTATGTCATTATACTACCGAGTTAGAAAATAACATTAGAATATCTCACTTTTTTCCTAATTACATTGTATAGATTCCTCTGTTCCTCTTCTTTACTGGGGTCCTAATTCTATACATAATTACATTAATTATCAAGAGACAACTGAATAAGGAAACTGTATAAGAAAACATCTTATGATAAAACACACATATTTTTAAAGCTAAGAGACATAGAAGGTATTTGATGTCAAGTGCAGGGCCTTATATCTTTCTAAAATAAAAATATTCAGAACAGGTTGATGCTTATTGAACTGAATTCAATATTCTAAAGACAGAATGCAATTATAGCAGTGAAGAAACATAGGAGCAGGCAGCCTATTATTTTGAGGTCATCTGTACTGTTAGGCCCATACGTAAGAGAGAAATCAGCATTTTACCCGACCCCTGTACTAGCTCTGTGGTTAGATCAGAGAAGTCTGGATTTGTTTTCCAGTGATTCCATTTCTTAGAGCCATGTTTTCCTCTGCTGATTAGTCACATATTTAGAACACGACCCTGAACAAAATTTAGAACAAGCCTTTCAGGCATATAATGTCAGAACATCAGCAGATTTCATGAAAGCAGGTACAGGTCCATTTTAGAAAAAAAAAATAGAATGAATTTCATATTAGTTGTCTCAAATCTGCCATTTGTTGTTTATGAACCATTAAAAACAAACTGTAGCTTTAGTTCCTGTATCTCTTTATCTCGAGATCTATACGGAGTGCTGCAGTAGTCTTGATGAATGGTCTATCTGAATGTTGGAAAAAGTGGAAGGAAGTCAAGAAATTTCCTGATGGTAGGAAGCCCGTGTTCAACTCCCAAGTTCCTTCGCTGTCTTGAGAGCATTAAAAAAAAAAAAAGTTTTAAAAGGTGAGACTTCTCTTCAAAGATCTTCTTCTTTTATGGTCCCAAAAACACAGTCACCTTCTGCTCTCTTAATCTTTCTTTTTCTTGGTAGGAAACTAGAATAGTCCTTCTGTTGTAAAGTAAGCAGAGAGATCAGATTCATAAATAAGAGGAAATAATTTTCACAATAATAATAACAAAAAATTAAAGGATTTACCTGTTTAAGCAGTAGTTTTTTAAAAAAGTTTTATCCTGCCGAAGCTTTATTTGGGGTTGGTGCCCATTTGGTAGGGCCAAGGACAGCGCCCCCTGCAGGGCTTCAGAGGAAGCCATATCCTAAGTGGCTTTTTTGAGCCCTGTCACTTCAGGAAAAGTTTAGCTCTGCCTGTCTTGTCCCTCTCTCCAATTTTAAAGTCATGTGACTTTCCATTTTTAACATTAATCTCAAATCTTCAGACCATAAAAACAAATTCTAAAATATCATTGTGATTATTTTCAAGCATTTTAAGAGGTCATGGTACCACTAACCTTCAGTGAGCATGTAGTTTCCTTTCAGTACTTAAGAAATCTCAGAGACAGAGCCTTCGGGGATACCTCACCAGGCAGATGGGTTAAAACTATTTTCTATGAGAAATGTCTTGATAAAGAAGCCCTTTGACAGAGTGGCTGAAGAGATAGATTTAATTGGTTATAAAAATAAAGACCACTGGATTCAGACTCTGGCTCTGGCTATGTGATCTTGGGCCAGCTACTTAACTTTTCTGTGTGTCAGTCCTGAAACCAAGGATAATAACAGGACCTGAGTTGTTAGGAGGATTAAATGAGTTTTATAGTTGGCCCTTGGAATCCATGGGCTCCACATCCACAGGTTTAACCAACCAGTGATGGAAATTATTTTTTAAATTTGCATCTGTACGGACCATGTAGACTTTTTCTTATTATTCCCTAAAGAATTCAATATTATAAGTATTTCAATAATAAAGTTTTACAAAGCACTTATACTGTATCAGATATTACAAGTAATCTAGAGATGGTTTAAAATACATAGGAAGATGTATATAGGTTACATGTAAATACTACACCATTTTATTTATATAAAAGGCCTGAGCATCCAAAGATTTCAGCATCCCCCTTAGATACTGAGGGACAACTATACACGGAGATTCTAACTGTGCTTGGCTCCAAATGAAGCCTTGCTCAATAAATTGGGATTCAATATATTTGGACATCAGGCACCTTGCTGACAAGCTGGCCCTGCTCAGAACTTGAGCACACTGGCCTGTTGTAAAATTGCTGCTCATCTGGAAGGACCACTGAATTAGCATCACTGTCAGTCATGGCTATGCTGTGTGTCCCGTGGTCTGTAGCTCCGCCACCATCAGACTCATCTGGAGGCTTGGTAAACAGATTGCTGGGCCCCTCCCCTGGAGTTTCTGATCCAGTAAGTTTGGAGCCCAAGAATTTGAGTTCAAATGATGCCCACACTGCTGGCCCAGGGACTATGCTTCGTGAACCACAATTCTAGCATAATGGTTCCAATCCTGGTTGTATATCAGAACCACTTGGAGAACTTTTAAAAATTCCATTGCCCAGGTTCTTCAGACCAATGAAATCAGAATCGCCAAGGTGGGGTCCAGCCATCCTTAGTTTCTAGAGCTCCCCAGGTGATTCCAATGTGGAGCCCAGGTTTAGAACCCCTGTTCTACACTGCCACTATGCTGCTGCAACAGTGGAATCAAAATTATGAGGTTATTCCCCTCTACAGTTTGCAGGAAATGGAGCTGAAGCTTGGTGCAGTGTTGGTGCTTGTGGGTGCACTGGGGTGCTTGTTATCAATGCTTATTTCCAAGGTCCCCACCGCAGATCTATTGCATCAATATTTAGGGGTGAGGACCAGGAGTCTGCCTTTTAAGATGCACTTCAGGAGTCCCTGATGCACATTTAGGTTTCTGATTTCTCTGAAGATACGTAGCTTATAGCTGGTAGAGTTCCTGTCTCGGATCTAACCAGAAACCCTATCGTGAAAGAGAAAGCTTTGGTTATGCCATTTTGTTTTCTGAGCTCACTCAAGAAAAGGACCTTATGTACTCACATATTTACAAATATATTCTTATATATGAGGGACCATTATATATATAACAGACCCTGAGACAGATGCTAGATGGATGATTCATCCCATTCAAACACTACTTACAGGTCACCTTTATTTCATTGACTTACACTACAATTTGGACATAGAAAGCAATAATTAGCAAGTAGTTAAGGGCACAATTCTGGGATCAGACTGCTGGCTTCCTTCCCCATTGATTGCTGTTCAACCTTGGGTATGTCATTTAACTCTCTGAACCTTAGTTTCCTCGGTGGGTTTACAGAAATCTTTGGAAAGGACAAATGTGTTAATTCACATAGAAGAGCTCGGAATAGTGTCTGGCAATAAAAAAATCCTTAATGATGTTGTTTATGATGATTCTATTATTGTTACCTACACAAAACTAAATACTCAAAGAAGTATCTTATAAACTTCAGAGTTGTTTTGAACAGGGTATATTGCTAAAAAAAAAAAATCTATGAAACAAAAACATACTGAATGCACTAAAATACATAAACTCAAAAGAGAACTTTCCAAAAAATGCATGGGATGCAGAAGAAAATCACTAAGGAATTTTGTGTTCCTCTTGGAAACTTTTCATGTGAAAATTTCCTTAGCCCCGCTGGATGTTACAACAAAAATAACTGTACTTTTGTGACAGCCTTCCGATCTACACAGAGCTTCTGAGCAATTCTGGCTTATTCTTGGAAATAGAATTACTTTGGGTAAAGAGGGAAAAAGAGCAGATTTATCAAAATTATAATGTTTCAATTACATCCTTTTACTCACAGACCTGGCTTTGTTGAACATGGTATTTTTGACTTTTGCCTTGTTCCAGGACTTCAATCTGCTAAATAGATTAGTAAAATGTCAGTCAGCACAGCCCAGAGAAAGCAAGCACACAAATCATCTATTTAACTAGCACATTTCCCTTCCACCATAATCCTCTTAATGGTCCCCAAGGCTGCCAGTCCCTAGGCACACATGCTTGTCATCTATGAACCCCCCTTCATCTGCCAGGGTCTAAATGTCACAGACACACCAGTCCCCAAAAGTGCAGGGAGGCTCTGTGTTTAACACTGGCGGTTGGCTGCCTATGGATTTTGCGATTTGACACAGCGTTTAAAAGGACCTCACACGAAATGAAACGCGCTTCTAAATCCTGAGATAATCCACGGAGCTCCAATCCATATGCTGAATCAAAGCCAAGTGGGGCTTCGCTTAATCAAAAGGCACCATTAATCAAATGAAGAATCATACTGAAGTTCAAAGACACTTCACTAGATCTCATGTTCATGAGGTAAACTGAATATACCAGTCAGGATCCAGGAGGAAACAGATGGTACACCCCTGGGGTAACCATGAGAATTTTAAAAGGAACTATTTAGCATTTAATGGAGGTGTGGGCGGGTTTAAAGCGAGTCAGCCAAGGGATGCTGGACCCCCTGGGGGCTGCAGGGAGGGTGGGGGGGCGGGGATTCTTACCACTTCCTAGCTTGCAGGGGCAGTGGGGGTGGGGGAAGAGCTACTACTGGAACCACAGTAGCCTAGCTGCAGACTTCAGTAGAGAGATATGAAACCAGAGGGACTCACCAAGGGCAGGACTGGAGAAATAAGTCGTCCAACCCCACTTTTCCCCCACTCTCCAGCCTCCTACTGGGATTCCCACTGGGTGGTTCCGTGGAAGGCAAGGTCACAGTCCTCACTGATCAGTCTCAGGGCACAGTGCAGCGGGGGGAGAGTGAATCTTAGGGACAGACAGTGTCTGGCACATCTAGAGAATGTGACCTAACCAGGGCTGGAGGACAGCGTTCTTAGACTTTTCTTCATGGAAAAATAAAGGATCATTAAACCAGTCTGCATCCCGTGCAAAGCTCCCGCCAGGCACAGGGCACGCTGCTCTACAATGGTGGATGTCTCTGCACTAACTGCTTTTCTGTTCCAACACACACACTCCTTGAAGCTGGGTCTTGGTTTCCAGCCAGCATGTGGTAAACGCGGCCATTCATAGATGATAGGATGAAGGGGTGAAGGAGGAAATTCTTTACTGCTGCTTATCACTCACAAGAACTATGGAATGGGACATTCCAGAATAACTGAGGTAAACATCATTAAAAGCATGAACTTTTCACTATGGTTAATTTTGCTGTAATATAAGTTGCTTTCAGGGGATATACACAGGATTTCCTTTAGGTTAGCAGAATAGAAATCTTCGTGTATTTGAAGCCCATACTTCAATAATTTTAACCAGTTGTTAAGTTTGGTAAATGAGAAATTAATATTCTGATGTCATATGTGTTTGCTATTGTTATTTTTTTATTATTTTGTAATGTGTTAGAGTTTATAGTCTTGTGCTGTGAATACAGAACCTGGGGGGAAAATTCTCATAATTTTTTTTCTCCCCTATTCTCCTTCCTTGAGACACACCAGAAGCACCACCTGTTGCTAGACACAGTGGCACACACCTATGGACACCCACTTGGGAGGCTGAGGTGGGAAGATCACTTGAGCCTGGGAGTCTGAAGCCAGCCTAGGCAACATAGCAAGACCCCATTTCTAAAAAGCACCAGTTGCCTTTTGAATAATCTTGCTTTGCCCCAAAACAGAGGTGAGATTGTTGGAAAGAGTGAGAGAGAGAAATACATATGGTGATGGCACTTGGGGGTGGATGAGAGGTATGGTGGATGAGGCAACAGGAATTAAAAATCCACCTTGTTCTTGGCCACTTTTGAGAAAATCAATTTAGAGGTGAGACCCACTATCAAGAACACTGAAGGAAGAAAACACAAAAAAACTAGGTATAGATTAATCAAAATACAATTTTTATGTATTTTCAATTCAGAAAGTTATTCACCAGCCTATTCCTGATAGGACTTCCATGTATTCAGATTATAGTTCCACGCACAAAATAATAACAATATGCTTTCAGGAATCTTTAGTAACACATATATTGTATAAAATACATCTACTTTCCTTTCTCAGAGTCTTTTAGAATCCTTTAGGTGGCAGAGGTTGTCGGTGGTCTACTCCATTATCCATTCTGCCCTCTACCCAGTTTTGCTTGGAAAGACAACACATCCTGCTAAAAAGACTACATTTGCCTGACTCCCTTGGGGGCAGGTGCCATGATGTGACTAACTCTTGGCCAACAAGCTACAGGTAGAAATTCTGTGTGAGACTCTCGAGACTCCTCCTTAAGGAAAAAAAGAAAGTCATTCTTCTTTCCTCCTTACACTTGCTGCCTAGAATGTGGGTGGAAAGACTGGCGCTCTAGCAGCCACATTGTGCGTGAGGTCTTTGGTGGCACTGTAGAACCACCATCTCAGCCCTAGACTGCCAACCTCTAGGCTTATTTTAGGTGAGAGAGAAACACACTTCTAATTTGCCTAAGGCACTTGCTTTGTCTTGTTTTGTTTTCTGTTATATGCAGCTAAACCTAAACCCAACTTTACTTTCAAATAAAACAATCCTTTAAAATTCTGCTCAAGTTAAAAGCAGTAGATATTAATAAAATTAATTTAGGCTTTTCTGTAGGCACATCACTTTTTTTTCCTTCTCATGGTTAAAATTGCCTTTAAGAATTTAAGGTGATGTTTGTTGTGGTTGTGTGTTTACATTATTCTTTATTGAATTTATTTGATTTGCATTTTTAAAATCTCTTCATGAACAGGTCAAGTCTTACCTTTGAAGGCATTGCCTAATGCTAACATGCCTAATAGCACTAAATTTCTTTTTCTCATTCCGTGTTAATAGGAAAAACCAGTACTTTTTAATTTAATCAGCTTCTAGGGACCTTCTGCTTTATTTATGGGGTTTATTTAGTCACAATTTTCTCAATTTTTCCCTCTTCCCCCAGATTCTTCAAGATTATCAAAATCTGGACTCAGGACCCACCTTGCCAAGTGAGGATGTCTGTCCTAGTGCACACAGACCTTCTATAGATGACATGTGCATGTATCAATTCAGACTGTGTTTGCCTAGAATGTCACAGTCTTGCACTTATATAGTGTTATGGTTTAGTTATGAGGGGTTCCCCAAAGCACGTGTATGAGACAACGCAAGGAAGCTTAGAGGGGAAATGATGGGGTTATGTGAGTCTTAACCTAATCAGTGCATTAATCCCCCAATAGAGATTAACTGGGTGGTAACTATAAGCAGGTATGGTGTGGCTGCAGGAAGTGGGTCTCAGAGGCCCTGTCTTTGGGGGCTTTTATTTTGTCTGTGATGAGGGGAGCATGTTCTCTCTTTCTCCCCCACCCCCCCATGACACATCCTGAGCTGCTTTCCTCCACCACTCTCTTCCGCCATGATGTTCTACTTCACCTTGAGCCCAGCAATGAAGTTGACCGTCTATGGTCCAAGACCTCTGATATGGTGCACCTCAAAATAAATTTTTCCTCCTGTAAAATTGGTCCTGTGTGGTCTTTTGTTGGTAGCAGGGACAAAACTGACTAAAACATACATACTTAAAGTCATAAAATGACTCTAGTCCACTGTCCTTCGTGGAAGTTCAGCACTCAGTGAGTTCAAAGTGAGTTCCTCTGTCTCTGCTTTACCTTCCCCAGTCCCCGTCCACCAGGAAACTCCAGATTGAAAGCCCTACAACACGCTCTTGAAAACTCAATTTTCAAGAGAAAAGGGGTGTCTGGGGTGGCAGCTTTCGGTTCCCTTTCCCTTCCCCTTCCCCCTCCCCATCCCTTGGTGACCATGGGTCGGGACTTTTCACCTGGCTGAAGAGACCTTAAACTCAGCCCTTAAACTCCACTTGGTTTGGGCAAACTGCTAATGGTAGAAACAATTTAGTTGGCCTAGGCCCTCCTGCCTCTAGTGACCGATGTAGATATTGCTCTTGCCTCCAGCAGGTGACTTCCGGGGCCCTCACCCTTTCACAGACTGGTAAACCTTGCCCAGGAGCAACCCCCAGCCTCTGCTCCCCTGTCTTCCAATGAAACTCCTTTTGGTGCCTTATTCTAGTTCCCTTAGGGGTTGAGGCTGCTCCTCTCCACCAAAGCAACAGCCAAAGGAACATGAGGATCTCTAGACCACCCACCTTCATCAGATCTAGCAGGGCTGGGGTAAGTCCCTTTCCCTTTGATCTTTCGACTCCCTCCTGTTTGCAGAGACTCTGTAAATCTTGTCCGTGTCAGAGACTCCCCTCCAACCCATCTAGGTCCCCAGTGGATTGTAAAGACTCGCAATCCCTGGCCAGCCCACTCATTCTCCAGTGAGTAGAGTAGGTAATTGGGATGCTTTTTTCCTTCCTGCTCACCCCTGGGTGACGAAAGACCATGGGAAACACAGAGTCCACTCTGGACCTCAAAACTCCCTTAGGGTGTCTATACATGAATTTTTCCAAATTGGGACTAGTCAGGATTTACGCCGTAAACAGCTCCTTTTCTATTCCACTGTGGCCTGGCCACAATACACTTTAGATAATGGCTCTAAACGGCCTCTTGAGGGGACTTTTGATTTTAAAATCCTCACTGATTTGGACAATTTCTGCCAAGGGATGGAAAAGTGGTTAGAGGTTCCTTATCTTAGGCCTTTAGGGATTTATGCTCCCGCCCCTCTTTCTGCTCCACATGTTCCACTTTCCAAGTCCTTCTTGCTAAAGAAACTCCTCCTTCCAAGCCCCCCCTCCTCCTGACCCTGACTCCTCTCTGCTTACTGAACCTCCCAAGACACTCTCCTCACCACCCCCAGACCCTCCCATCCTGATCCTGCTCCTTATCCAGAATGGGCTCCACCTGAATTAGATCCCCTGTCTCTTCCCCAGTAAGTGCCCATACCAGGTCTCACCAAATGACCTAAGACACCGAACTTCTCTGTCCTCTCCACGAGGTGGCAGGA